GGGGGGGGGGGGGGTGAGCGAATACACAAAATACAGACCTCATCAGTTGCCTTTGGAGGATCGTGGGAATCAATTCATCATGTTGAACATATGTAAATACAGGAAAGACTCGTGCATTTATCCTATTTTTTACATAGAAACTCTATCTTGTAATAACCAAGGAATGAGTCGAAGTACTCAAGCTTATAAATAAAGGATAAATCATAGGACTGGAATCTCACTATTGTGTAGCCCTAATGAGATAATGGATCTATTCGATAACAATGAATCATTACATGTCACATTTACCAAATGCAACCCAATCTGTGCTGAGAGGAAACTCATACCGTCCATGCATATGAAACAGGGGCTACCGGACTCTCAGCCTAACTGGTGACTATCTAGAAGCTCTTTGATCAGCAGAAGACGATGAAAACTCTATTTAAAACGTACCCACTCTGCCCAGCTGGTTTGGCTAAGTGGTTGAGCTATGAACTGGGTTAATTCCCCAGGAGGGGGTGTGCTGGAGGCAGCTGATCATTGATTCTCATCACTAATGTTTCTAATTCTCCCTCTCCCTTCCTCTCTGAAAGCAATAAAAAAACACAAAAACAAAATTTTTTTTAAAAAGCCTTTCCCTTGCTCTCCTGCTCCCTTGGTTAAACCCTCTCATTCATCTTGCACCTCCACAGCCTGTTTCCTTCAAGGCTGCTGGCTTCTGACAGGGCTGTGAGGTACCTTCTGCTTAGTGTACAGCTCTGGAGCCATAACTCAGTGTGAATCCCAACCCTGTAGGCTGGGAGCTGTGTTGCCCTGTGCAAGTTACGAGATCTGCCTCTACTTTAGTTTTCCACATTGGTAAAATGGGTAATTTAGTGCTTACTTCACAGGGCTGTTATGAGAGTAAATGGTGTGGGGACCCTACCCAGAGTACGCCAGATGTTAAAGGCCTGTTTGCCATACGTGCAAAGGCAATGTCAGCAGTTTTACTGTATGCACTGTGCAGTGTTCCTATGTGTCATGTGACACTGATGGCACTATTTTAGCAAGAAACCTCTTTTGTCTAAATTAGTATAAAATGTGCTCCTGAACAGCGGGTGGCTGGCAGCTTTGCAATAAAGCATGTCCCATCTACCTGTGGCTGCTCTCATCTCCCAGTTCCCAGCTAGGGAGGTCCCATCCCTAGCAGAGGGGCTTGCACCGAACAAATGGCTTCATGTATGACATAAATGAGAACAGAATCTGTTTCTCCCTGAGTAGGTGTAGGTTGACAGTTACGATCCCTGCAGATGTGGCTACTTATTATTGGTATTGTTACCACTGTCATGCCTGGATTCAAGACCCTTAGGAACAATTTTTGAAGCTTTGTGATTAAACAGCACAGATACCAGAGACAAACCTGAATTCCCAAATTAGATCAGGTGATACCATTTTTGTCCATTTAAGCAATTAGGTTATTTCTTTGATCTTTGTTTTCATCTATAAATGATGCCTTTCAGGGAATCTGCATCATTGGGATGCCAGGAGGAACACATAGAATGAATCATTTTCTTCCATTTAACTTAGGACATAAAAAGACTAAGACAGCCCTAGTTGGTTTGGCTCAGTGGTTAGAATGCCAGCCTCTGGACTGAAGGGTCTCAGGTTCAATTCTGGTCAAGGGCATATGCTTGGGTTGCAGGCTCGATCCCCAGTAGGGGGTGTGCAGGAGGCAGCTGATCAATTATTCTCATTATTGATATTTCTCTCCCTCTCTCTGAAATCAATAAAAAAGACTAAGATGTACATGCGACATCAGTAAGACAGTGGAATAGAAGGGTCTAGTCTTCATTCTCACAGAAACTTCAATTTGACAGTGATCCACCTACACAAAATGCCTTCTCCAAAGCTCTGATATCCAGGTGAAAGATTCCATTACTCAGGTGGAGCATAGAAATGAGAAAAGATGATTGGAGGAGGATAGGGTCAACAGTTTGTTTACCTGCATCGCCTCTACCTCAAACCTATTTGATAAGCACTGAGAGAAATCTCCATTCAAGCTCTTTCATGGGGAAGAGTGAAATGAGTGTTTGAATAAAAGCCGGAGTCAGAGAGATGCATCTGTAGCTGTTGACAACATTTTTGTCCTTCCAGGCTAGTCAAGTCTGGGATTACATTTGTTATTTAACTTCATCCTCATATACAATGCCCATTTATGGATGAGGGAATAGCCTGAGAAAGACAAAACAATTTGTCCAAGGTCCTAGAGCTTGTTAGCGACAGGGCCCCTGGTTCTGCCTGACTCCAGTCTGCATGCTTTCACCATACGTCTCACCACCTCCCAGCATCCCCTGCCAGGCCTCACGTACTCCCCGCACAGCGCAGACGCAGCACACAGATCTGAGCTGCAGTTACTTTATTAGAGTCAGCCTGATGAAGACAGCGTGGGGACAGGTGTCTGGATTCCAGCTTCAGGTGAGAATGGCAGGAAGACGGAGCTCAGAGAAACAGTTCAGTTTAGAAGTTCAGTGACATCCTTCTTTATCTTGTCCACTGTGTATTGGATGCATTCCTTGCTGGTGGTGATAGTGCCCTAAAGCGAGGGCGATAACAAGAGAAGAGGACTTGAGCCCCCAGCAGGGCTATCCTATCTCCCCAGATCACCCCACTCCTCATCCTCAGTGATTCAGCTCCATCCCCAGCAAGAACCACAGGCCACCACCAGAGAGGGGCTGTGATCAGTCAGGCCAGGATGAGGATGGCTCCTAATTGCCCATGCACAGGTATTCTGTGGTCTCTCCTGTACCTAAGACTCGTCTGTTAGGTGCATCGGATGAATGTTTATGCATGTGTTGTAAACAATCTCATGTGCCCTGTGTGCCTACATTAATGCAAGAAGTTCTTGAAAAACCTCATTTTGCAGAGTCAACACTTTGGGGAAAAAAGAGTAAGAGACAGATTGTTCAAAATCTATGTAACTAAAAAGAGCAATAACAAAGACAGTTCATCAGGAGATATATCTGTGAGCAGCTACACGTAAGTAGAAGTTGCCACAGGGACCTCGGGCACTAACATGACATAGTGGAAATTCTGGCTTGTGGGCACTGCGACAATGCAGGTGGAAGTGGGGCTCGGAGCCGAAAGAAGAGCCATCAAGGTGGGCACAAGAGGAAGTGAAACAGACCAAAAGCCAGAAACCTTGCAAAGCCAGCAAATCCCTTCTGGGAAGAGTCTAAAAGTGGTGCTCGTTTTTTTGTTTTTGTTCTTTTGTTAATCCTCACCCAAGGATATTTTTTCCATTGATTTTTAGAGAGAATGGAATATGGCAAGGTTGGGGGGGGGGGCGGAGAAGAGAGAGAAAAGCATTGATATGTCACATCGAGACTGATTGCCTCCCACACACCCCTGACTGAGGCCGGGCATTAAACCTGTAACCCAGGTACGTGCTGTTGGCTGGGAATTGGACCCACAACTCTCCATGCATAGGCTGACACTCTAACCACTGAGCACACACTGGTCAGGGCAGTGCTCGTTTTTAATATTTCTAAAATAGAGCATCAGGACTCCTACTGTGCAGGAGCTGAAGTCTCTCCTGCCAAAGGTTAAAATTCTACTCCTGCAATGTTAGCTCCCCTAATCTGGGGAAAAATCACATGAGCCAACACACTTTCTATGTTACACTGACATCAGTCCCTATTTTCCAGTGTGTGAGCTAATCGGCACAATAGGGACATGCATGATAGAAGAACAGGTTGGATGTGCATGTAGCATGTGGTTGTATGTTATACATGCTGTAGAGTGGAGCTAAGATTTTTGAGCTTGACTGTTTATAGCTCTTATCTGTCATGTGCCCCATGATGTCATGGTCTATTTGTATGTGGCATTTTGCAATATGCTGCATGTATGTCGCCAGAGCGAGCGGGAGGGGGGTAAATTACCATGACGATCAGATCCAAGATCTTGGATTCGATTCCCGCCTCATTGTAGCAATCCTGGATTTTTTCTAAGGCTACTTTTTCTGGTTGGGTAGCGTGGACCAGATCGAGGCTGGCATCCAACAGTGATTTGCTTCCAATAGCCAATGTACCAAACACTCCATAAAAAATAGGGCAAGATTCCGCTGAAGACAAGAGACAAAAACACCCCATCAAAGGAATCACCAGGGTAAGAGGTTCCTGTTTCCCCACCACTTGGAAGTAATCACATAGCCAGTGTGTCCTGACTCACCTTCCACAGACACCTGCCCTCTCCCAGGACCGCTTACACCCCAGACAGAGCAAACGTTCTCTAAGAGACACTCCCAGCTGAAAGGAGCAGTAAGAGAGGCTAGGACTAGAGCCCCTCTGCCCCTGACCATGGCCCCAGACATCCCAGCCCTTTAAATAAGCACCACTACCCCAACCAACTCCCCCTATGTGTGCGTAACTGATGACCCTCCATCTTCAAACCTCTCCCTCCATTGAAAGACTGAAAACCTCGGGGGCTTTCTGCAGGACTCCTGGGCAGTGATCTCCCAGCTGATCCCTAAATTTCTTGCTAGAAGCTGCCCAGAGATCACCATGGGGGGAGGGAGTGAGACAGAGTAGGGCAAAGGTCAAGAAGGCCATTTCTTCCCTCCTTCCTGTTCTTACCCATCTGGGTGCCCAGCTCTCTGGTCACCAGCAAGGCCAGCACAAGCAGTGTCCCCTTCATCATGTCAGCTGCCGGAATGCTCTGCCCAGGGCAGGGTTTCTGCTACTTTATAAACAAGTTCCTTGAGCCCATCCCACACCCCAGGAGCTCCAACAGCCTGTGGGCAGGAGCTGGCACACGTGGCCCCTCCACCATCGGGCTGTTAAATGTGGGAAGCAAACTGAGAGCAAATCTGGAGAAGATGTGGTTTTACCTTTGCCAAAAACCAACCGGAGCTGACATTTCTAAATTACTTCACTCTGAGCCAACTGCTCTGTTGTCCAGCACCAACTGTCACATCTCCTGGTCATCCTTCCCCCACACTATCCTGGCTCCAAATGCTATACTCTCCCAAAATGTAGAGACAGAAATCACAGGAGGGGTCAAGGCGGGTCTGTGCCACTTTAGCTAAACAAGGAATCACCCAAAAACGGACGGGCAGGTTTAATGTCTTGAGGTGAGTATGGGGAGCTGGGCCTGACTGGAGCCCCTTAAACATCGTAGCTGCTGCAGTCGCTGGATGGGGCCCCAAGAAGGGATGGCCACCGTCCTTGAGCTCTGAGTCACTCACTATCAGGGAAGTTGCAGGACTTGTGGCCACATAGGTTTTCCCAGGGCTGGTAATGCTCCATTTTTAGATCCCACCACCAGTTTCCCTTTCACCTTTAAGGGGGCAGATTCCTTGGCACCTCCTTGGCTCCCAGTGGCCCCAGCCTTGTTGCTTCACCTCGCTGTCTCTTCCTCCAGCAGTAAACCTGCCCTAAGAGGGGCTGACTGCACAGCACATCCAGAAACATGAGTGCGCAGGTGTGGGTTGTGCAGTTTGTCTCTGTCAGACAGAGACAGAGGTGTCCACAGCCCTACAGGCCACTGTGGGCTAGACTTCTCCAGTCAACCAGAGGTGGCACTCAATCTGCTCAAACTCTCAAGGTTAAACTGAGCCTCTACTCTAGGAAAATCGTTCGTTGGCA